TTCTAGCCTTTCATGGAGAGTTCCTGTGGTTGCCTAGAAACAGTCCCCTCAGTCATTTACGTTGCCTTGCCCTGTGCTGCCAACAGTCCTTAGGGAAATTCTGTATTGAGCCATTTCAAGTTGTACCCTCAATGAGAGCTTCCTTCCCCACCCCCCCCCCCCACCCCCGTCTCTGAAACATCCAACCCTGCATTCCTCCAGCACCCAAATTCATTTTGGTTCCCCTTTAGAACTTCAGAAACAGTTTGCCTCGTTCCCATAGCCCCCCAAAATCCTGCTAGTGGTTTTGTTGAAATCATGTTTAAATGTATAGATTATTTATAGATTGAAAAAAATAATTTAATGTTTCTTATGTAATAATAATACACTCATCTATAATTTCATTTTTTATGGCTTTCTTTTCTGCCCTTCGAAGTATTTCTGTATTCTTCATATAGCTCTGCATATTTCTTATTGAGTTTATTCTTAGGCATCTTACCTTATTATTAATGGCATCTTCCAACATCTTTTCTTCCCGCTTGTCTGTACACGATGACCACTCAATAATTTTAACACGACCGAAGCCAACATCGTGTTTTGGAAAGGAGAGGAGGGCTCTGGTCTGCTTTCATGCCTGCTTTTATAAACTGAAACGGGGACGAGTTTGAATGTGGTGAGCCAGAGGTCACACAGGAGGGACAAACTAGGGGTAAATTCATCACAGCTCTGCAGCCCTGAGCCTGGGCAGGAAGCAAGGAGAGTTGTTCTTTGAAGTTGTAAGAAAGCCATAGAGCCGAAACCGGTTTGGCTCAGTGGATAGAGCGTCGGCCTGCGGACTGAAGGGTCCCAGGTTCGATTCCGGTCAAGGGCATGTGCCTGGGTTTCGGGCATATCCCCAGTAGGAGATGTGCAGGAGGCAGCTGATCGATGTTTCTCTCTCATCGATGTTTCTAACTCTATCTCTCTCCCTTCCTCTCTGTAAAAAATCAATAAAATATATTTAAAAAAAAAAAGAAGAAAGCCATAGAGCTGGGAGGTCAGCTGTCGTACCCAAGCCTTCAAGACCCAAAACATTCTCTTCTCCTTTCAAGCCGTCCTCATTGAAGATCTCACATACCCCCGTGCTTCCACATTAGGGAGGCAAGCACTGCATATTGCTCTCCTCATCGGATAATTCCCTCTTCAACACCTACACATTTCCTGCTTCTTTCTTTTGACGCCGTTCCCAGCTGAGATGCAGAGTTGCTGACTGCCATTTTGTGTAAGTGCTGCCCTTTAAGGCTGAAAGTCCCTCTGGATGCCCGTGTTGGTCTACTAAAGGAAATGGGAGCACTACGGATAGAGTTATCGCAGGCTTGCAAGGTGCCAGGCACTGTGCTTTTCATGAGCATCTCATTTAACCCTCCCAACAGCCCGATGGGGGAATTACTGTTCCTTTTTCCCTGTTTTACATAGAAGAAGACTGAAGCTCCGAGACAGACACGAAGTAAACTGTCCAAGGTCATGCAGCTTGTTAGTAGTAATACCGAGATTTGAACCCATGCATGTTGGTCTCCTTCACCTAAGCTCTTAGTAGCTTTTAGCTGTAGTATATTTTTGTGACAGTAGAAGGAAAAAGTCCTAGCTCACGCTTCGACCAAACTGAAACATTAGCCTTTTATTAAACGGAGTGCAGTGCTCCAATCTCCCTTTATTGAGAGCCCGTCATGAGCGGTGTCATTAGCTGACAGTGTCCGGCAGCAGCACCTTCAGAATCCGCCGTGTTCATACCACGGACCTGTTCTTTCTGGGCCATACTGGAGCACAGATATGTTTATGAGTGCCAAGACTTAGACTGAGAAGCAGCGGAGGGCGTGGCCCAGGAGTTTCAGGTTTAAACTGTGTCTTTTCTCCCCCGCACCTGTTTCTTGGGTTCCGCCATTCCTTACCTCAAGCTGACATCTCCTAGATAGGCTTCCCAGATAACCAGACCTTCACTCAGCTTCCGTGTTCCTAATCTTTTACATGTAGAAACCCAATTTTTATTGTTGTTGTTAGGTTTTGTTTTCTAATGGTTTCGTGGTGTAATCCTACATTCCAGCTTGTTGAAGGCTGGAACTACATCAGGGTATCCCCGTGCCCTGCCCCTTTCCTTAGCACCAGAGTCCAGGGCATTTGGAACAGCATCCAACATTATTTGTTTATTGTTTAATTAAACTAATTGACTTTAAACTTTACTCTTCTTCAAGGGAAGGAGAGGTAATATTTATGGGGTGCCTATTATATGTCAAGTATTGTGTGGTGCTGAGTAGTATCACAATGTATCACAGAATTTATTCTCCATGGTAACTCTGGAAGTTAGCCATTATTGTTATTGAACAAGAGGAGAGAGAAACATGGAGAGGCTAAACAACCTTCTCAAAATAACGCAGAGTCAGTGGCAGGTGGAATATTCAAACCAGCCATGTCTGACTCAAAACCAGTGCTCACCCACATCACAGAACGGCCTCCTCGGGCCAGTACTTGAAGGAGGCAAGTGAGAGGGGTGAGGCTCTTGCCTAGGGTGCAAAATATAAGGCAGTCCCAACAAGCTCAGTCATCAAAATAAATATCTTAATGCAATATTTTAAAAATCAAAATTAATGCAAAACAATCCGCGAGGAACAAAGTACTGCATTTTTTAAATAAAGATGGGATCATTATTACTGGTTTTCCTTTTGCCTCAGGCTTCAATAGAGCTTCCCACAGCACCAGCACTCATCCTGCCTTTATTTAAAGTCATAAACTGAGTCATTGAATGAAAGCTTTGTTTTAGAAGATTAATATGTTGGTGGTGTGAAGGACAAACTGAAAAGATAGAGACTTTGAAGGTTTGGAAAATTTTGCCTAATCAAAATGAGTTAAGAAAAATTCCACTATTCCCTCTTAGCTCTGTGCTAAATAACTTGGGAAGTACAACCAGAACAAGATGGTCTGATGCTTTTAACAAATTCTCTGTCTTCTGTAGACTGAGCTACAGATGCCTTGCTACTTCTGATGCCCACGCTGGTGCCAGCTCCGACGTTAACCAGGGTGTCTGGCAACTTTCCCTTCACTCCTAATGGCACCCGAGGGGGGAAATTCCCATGTTTCCCATGTACATCCGCCTCATTATTTTAGAGATTTTGATCCTGTCTTTTCCCACCTGCACATTTCACCTTCTAGCTTAACCTTCCAAGTCTTTCTATCAGGGGTGGGCAAATTTTTTGACTCGAGGGCCACAATGGGTTCTTAAACTGGACCGGAGGGCCGGAACAAAAGCATGGATGGAGTGTTTGTGTGAACTAATATAAATTCAAAGTAAACATCATTACATAAAAGGGTACGGTCTTTTTTTTTTTTTAGTTTTATTCATTTCAAACAGACCGGATCTGGCCCGCGGGCCGTAGTTTGCCCACGGCTGTTCTAGATGCTCCAGATACAGAAGCCTTCTCAATTTCTCTGGTCATTTTGGTTGTCTTTCTCTAGGTCTTTTCTAACTCCATGATCTTTCTGGGGTTATAACATGTAGTACTACATGTAGCACTTGTTGATTTTCACACATTATCTTCTCTATGAAAAACTATATATAGGTTTCCAGAATGCTAGTAGTGTGCCTTAGGGACCTCAGATTTAACCAAGCCCAACTCCCCTCAATGTACATTTCAGAGATATTGGGACTTAACCAAAGTCACCCAGGATGCTGATGGTAGAATCTGTCCATTTCTCTTCCACTGCAAGCAATTGGCCCCTCTTAGTCTGTCTCCTGTTCCTGAGACAGAGTCTAGTATAGCTCTGCTTAAACAGTAAAGCAGCAGTGTACTTGGCCTACAGAGTTTGGCCCTTCTCTCTTTCATAGAGGTACGTTCATCAGCCGGCCACAGGACACACAGGAAGGAATGGGCAGTTGTCTTGTATGGAGAGGTAAAACAATGGTTCCAGACAGTGCTGTTTTATTTCAAATACCCTTTTCTGATGACACCCCAACTTTGCCAATCTTTTTGAAGAAAGTATACATTGGTCCGTATTTCTAGGGAGTAGTCTGCAGCCACTCTGAGCTTCCTTTCCTTGGCCCAGATGAATTTTATCTGGTGGTCAATGTTACTCAAATGTGATCTCATAAACCTGGCCTGAAACTGCGTGCAATCTGAGTATTTTTGCCAATTGTATGAATACAAGAATGTACAGAATCGGTAAAAGATCGTTTGTTTACATTTCCTAGAGGCCAGACAGAGAGGGAAAAGTTCAAGAGATGTTCGGTATCTGTAAGATTGCTGTATTGACCATGATTTTACAGGGGAGGAGGTAAGAAATACAGAAGGTTGGTAAAACCTTATACAGTGGGGCCTTGACTTATGAGTTTAATTCGTTCCGAGACAGAGCTCGTTAAGGAGCTAGATAAGGAGCTCATTAACTTAAATTACTCTGTCAACTCAATGCAAAAAATCAGCCGAGAGACAGCTGGTATCTCAAAAAACTCGTTAGTCGGGACACTTGTAAGTCAAGGCCCCACTGTATTGGGCAGTGGCTTAAATGTCTAATGGCTTAGGCCTGTAACAGGAATGAAGTCGATTGATAAGATGTGCAGGAGCAGTGGAGAATTCCAGAAAACATGCCTATACTAAAGGGGCAGCCAACGGTAGGTGTCAGCCAATTGTTGCCATGCAGGACGGTAGATCCAATGTTTCTAGATCTGATTTTTCAAGACAATTCAAAAATCTGGATTTTTAATGAAATTACCTAATTTTTAAGTGCTGGCAACAAATTCAATGTGGGAGGGAGGAAAAAAGAGAGGAAAAATGAAAGTGAACCAACCACACGCAGGCCAAATGGACAGTTTGTGACTCTTGACTTATAGACTTCTTTCTTGTCTTTCCCAACAATTCAAGATAAGTTTAGCAGCCTACTTCAAGATAAACTCAGAACTAGATCAAATGCAGTCAGAATTTCCATTGCCCTGTCAGTTTTTTAAATCTATCCATACAGTTTTTATTGGGCACCTAACATGTGCAAAGTCTCTCATTACATCTTATTTAAGATGAAATATGTTAACAATTAATTACATGAAACAGAAATACAGCTTCCACAATGATCCAAAAGACTCTGAGATACATACTTACATTTTAGCTGGTTTTTAAAAATATAGTCAACTATAAAATATTATTTTTTAAAACCTACTGGAGCCCTCAATTTCTACAATTCACTTCTGAATTTAGAAGGTTAATGGGAAAGTTTCAGAACATGAGGCATCACTATTTAAAAGTAGCACTTCTAAAATCATTCATTCGAGTCCATTTTGACCAGTGAATGGCTTCTATCCCTGTAGAAGTCATCTATATTACCAAGCAGCGTCCAAGTTACTATTAATTCGGAAAGAGAAAAAAGTTGGAAACCCTGTCGGCTGATTAGGTGAGAAGACATTATACAGGTCCACTTGGCTCAAGCTATCAGTTGTTCGTGATTACATTTTAATATGTGCGCTAAACAGTACACATTGTATCAGCTTCCCACGTGAGAATCACATCACTTTAGTCACTTTCCCCCCTTATTATTTTTTTCAGTCTCTCTGTACCCATATCTCTCCCCCAAGTCTACAGTTTTTACACATTTAAGGTATGCCTACTTCTGTTTCCACTATTTCTTCTGGTCTTAATCAGGGTGGAGACTCTTCAAATTGGTTAAACTTCTCTGCTGTCTCAGAGATTGTCCATATCCCCTTACATTACACTCTCAGCCCAAGCCCCCACCCCCACCTCCATTCTAGAACCTGGACTCCTCCCCACTCTCTATCCCGTACCTCCGGACCTAAGGTGCCTGCCCTTCGCCTCCTTCTCCAGCTGAGCGCCCTCTCCCCCGACCCCCAAACCCCCATATCTCTTCCCAGGCCGGCACCCTCAGCCGTTCCAAAAGCTAACAAAGAAGTTGCAGAGGGAGTGCCACTTCTCGGCACAGTAGGTCTCCGCGAACTTCGCGTTCCCGTCCAGCCCGTCGGGATCCGGCCCTGTCCCCAGGGGTCGCTCCTCGTCTGGGTCCGAGGCCGCCTTCCTCTTGCCCCCTTTCGTCTTCTTCTCCGAGGGCTTCCCTTCGGGGCGCGCGCGCAGGGGAGGCGGGACGGTGGCGGCGGGGCCGATCGCGGGCTCCCGGGTCCGCCCCCGGTTCCTGGCCCGGGGTTTGGGATCCGGGGGGAAGCCGGCCGCAGTGGGGCGGGCGGGTGGGGGCGCGTGGGACACCAGGCGCAGCTCGGCGCCCTGGCCCTTCCTCCCGGCGCACAGGCGGGCTCGGAGCGGCGCGGGGTCCTGGCAGGGCCGCCGCTTCCTGCGCAGCCGGCCCAGCACTTGCTTCCAGTAGCGCGCGCCGCGGGCGGCGTAGGCGGCGCAGCGCCCGGGCTCCCCGCGGTAGGCGCACCGGCGGCGCTCGCCGTCCGGGCCCTGGCAGCGCAGCCACAGCTCGCTGCCCGCCGCCGGCCCTGGAGCGGACAGCAGGAGCTGCCAGCTGCACGCGTGGCGCTCGGGGCTGATGAAGCGGCCGGTGGAGCCGCCCACGGCACCCCGGGCTGCCTCTGGGGCGCTGCCTGCCGCCCCCGGGTCCCTCCGGGCGGCGGCGAGGAGGCAGCCACCCAGCAGCAGCAGCAGCAGCAGCAAGAGTGATGCTCGCAGCCTCAGAGGACTCATGGCTCGGGTCGGCTCTTCCGGGACCCCTGGGTGCTTCAGTGGTGGCAAGGCCAGGACAGCAGCATCCCTGCGACCTGGGGACAGAGGCAGAGGCTAAACCCCCGCGCAGTCCTTGGCCCCAGCACCGACACCTGCGAAATCCCTCTCCCCCCCCAGGCTTTCTGGGCGCTTGTTGCCAGTGGGCCACAGCAGCAACCCCCCTGAAAAGTTCTTCTGGGAAAAAATAGTTTACTGTCTAAATAATCATTTTTAAATAAAATGTTAAACCCCGTGCAAACACGGAAGCAAAGCAATGCCTGATAACTACCACCTCCACAGCCTCCCTCTCCACATCCAATAAGCAATCCCCCCAAAGCATGTCAGGCTATTCCCCAGGAGCTTACCGAGTTCTAGCAGCGGTAGCGGAGCCCTATTAGAGTTAAGGGAATGACTGTAGAAGAGAGGTCTGTTTCAGCCAACTCCCAGTGAACGAACGTATCGTTAATGGGACGGAAGGGGGTCTCTCCCACTGTGCCCCTTCCAGACTCCTTTCACACTGGGAGATTTCCCACCACCAGCCCAATACACACACACACACACACACACACACACACACACACACACACACACACGATAGAAGTGGCACTGTAGCATGAATATAAATCGTATATTTAGCTTCCAGTGTTTAAAATAATCATGTGAATTTTAACAAGTAATTCTTTTCTTTTCTTTAACATATTTAATCATCTGAACAGAAAAGTTAAATAGAAAGACCTAAGTTTTAACAGTTAAACAATAAAATTAAACAAAGCAATATTCTAAACCAGGCACTACTTACATACTTACACTCTTTTTTATATCATTCTGACTTCAATATTTTCACTCATTTCCAATAGTATTTCTTATCACAATAATTTAATCCTAATAATTGTTACTACTAATAAAATATATTCTGGTTTATTAATGTACCACAGAGTCCAGCAGTTCACCCAGGGGTGGACATTTAAGCTTTGGATTATTTTTAGGTACTATAAATCAGTTATAAACTTCTTACCAAAATAGAAGATTAAAAAATAATAATTTATTTGGATTATAGTTGCAAGGTAATATTACTAATTCAAATGCTATTATCTTTAAGAATTGAAATGTTCTTGAATCTTGAAATTTTTTTAAAAATATATTTTATTGATTTTTCACAGAGAGGAAGGGAGAGAGATAGAGAGAGTTAGAAACATCGATCAGCTGCCTCTTGCACATCCCCCACTGGGGATGTGCCCGCAACCCAGGTACATGCCCTTGACCGGAATCGAACCCGGGACCTCTCAGTCCGCAGGCTGACGCTCTATCCACTGAGCCAAACCGGTTTCGGCGAAATTTTTATATTTAAACAAAGCTAAAATATACATCAGGATATCATTTAAAAAACGATTTCAGGCCGAAACCGGTTTGGCTCAATGGATAGAGCGTCGCCCTGCGGACTGGAAGGTCCCGGGTTCGATTCCGGTTAAGGGCATGTACCTGGGTTGCGGGCACATCCCCGGTGGGGGATGTGCAAGAGGCAGCTGATCGATGTTTCTCTCTCATCGATGTTTCTGACTCTCTATCTCTCTCCCTTCCTCTCTGTGAAAAATCAATAAAATATATTTTAAAAAAACCGATTTCAGTAATAAATGTGATATTTTTAAATTTTAAGAGTTTATACTTTTTACTATAATTGTTTTACACATGTATTTTTCTAAATACTTCCTCAAGATGTCAAGAAATCCATCTTGCAGACAGTATTTTCTTTTCTTTTTTTAAAAATATATTTTATTGATTTTTTAGAGAGGAAGGGAGAGGGAGAGAGAGTTAGAAACATCGATGAGAGAGAAACATCGATTCAGCTGCCTCCTGCACACTCCCCACTGAGGATGTGCCCGCAACCAAGGTACATGCCCTTGACTGGAATCGAACCTGGGACCCTTCAGTCTGCAGGCCGGCGCTCTATCCACTGAGCCAAACCAGTTAGGGCCAGACAGTATTTTCTATTACTGAACTCCTATTGGTGGTGTATTTGAACAGTTATAATTTGAGTACTACTATAAAAAGCAAAATATTTTAATTAGAAGAATTTACTTAAATATGTGTTAGCATATATTAAATATACAATAGTGTATATTGACCTAAGAAAGGAAGTTGTGTTTTGTGTGTGTGTGTGTGTGTTGTTTTTTTACCACTCTGGTGATACCAGAGAGATGAAATCACTTACGTAAGGTCACACATCATTGAGTGTTAAAGCCAAAAGCCACCTGACTTTCAATGACCAATAATTTTTACATTTCAGCTTCGTATTACTACAATCAATATCAAAGTTAGTTGTGTTTTAATTACACCAATTTGATTTATTATGAAAAGCAATTAGTACCAATGAAGTTTAAAATATTCACATAAGTTTCATAAACAAGAATAGCTTCTTAATAACACCTGGGAGATGAAAACCTTTCCCAGAAAACCATGTTTGTATGAGTAAAGTACTGAGGAGTAGTTACAAGCTTCTGTTAGTTGCTCTGGCATGACTGCTATCAGCTACTGAGCCAACTGGAATAGTTTCTCAGCTAAAGAGTGACATCTTGTGAAATTCTGCTCTAATTACAATGAAAACGTTTATTATCTGAAGAGTCGTATTACACATTCCAGAGACCATGCTTTCTGTCAGAGACATCGTTCCCAATGTAAGGACACAGCGATGTGCTGTGCCATGTCAGAAGGGGGCACTTCTTATCTGAAGTTACTTTTTATAAATTCTGTAAAATATACATCACACAAAATTAACCATTTAAACTATTTTTTAGGTGTACTGTTCAGTGGCATGAAGTACATGCACACTGTTGTGCAACCATCACCATCATTCATCTCCAGAATGTTTTTCATCTTCCAAAATGGAAATTATAGCCGAAACCGGTTTGGCTCAGTGGATAGAGCGTTGGCCTGCGGACTGAAAGGTCCCGGGTTCGATTCCGGTCAAGGGCATGTACCTGGATTGCGGGCATATCCCCAGTAGGAGATGTGCAGGAGGCCGCTGATCGATGTTTCTCTCTCATCGATGTTTCTAACTCTCTATCTCTCTCCCTTCCTCTCTGTAAAAAATCAATAAAATATATTTTAAAAAAATGGAAATTATACTCATTAAATAATAATGCATTCCTCCCTCCCTCCACCTCCTGGCAATCACCATTCTACTCCCGTCTCTATGAATTTGACTGCTCTAGGTAGCTCACATAAGTGGAATCATACAGAATTTGTCCTTTTGTGATTGGTTTATTTCACTCAACATAATGCCTTTAAGGCTCATCCATAGTGTAGCATGTGTTGGAATTTCCTTCCTTTTTAAAACAATAATATTCCATTGTATACATGTACACATTTTGCTTATCCATTCACTTGTCAATGGATTCCTGGGTTGCTTCCCCATTTTGGCTACTGTGAGTAATGGTCCTATGAACATGGGTATATAAATATCTTTGAGTTATTGATTTCAATTGTTTTGGGGTATATACTGGTACCCAGAAGTGGAATTACTGGATCATGTGGTACTTCTGTTTCTGACTTTTTGAGGAACCTACATACTGGCTTTCCCAGAGTGGCTCACCTTTTTACGTTCCCACTAATAGTGCACAAGGATTCCAATTTCTCCATATCCTTACCAATACTTGCTATTTACTGTTTGTTTGATTGCTTATTTTGGTTTTTATAATAACCATCCTAATGGGTGTCACGTGGCATCATTGTAGTTTTGATTTGCAATGCTGTAATTAGTGTTGTTGAGCATCTTTACAAGTGTTTATTGGCCATCTTATATCTTCCTTGTAGAAATGTCTATTCAAGTCCTTTGCCCATTTTAAAATTAGGTTGTTTTGTTGTTGTTGAGCTGTAGGAGTTCTTTATGTATTCTGGATATAGATACACATCTATGTAGCAAAATGGTAACATGGACAGGTAGTTTATACACAAACTTCTTTCTAAAACATTTTATTGATTTCAGAGAGGAAGGGAGAGGGAGAGAGAGACAGAAACATCAATGATGAGAGAGGATTATCAATTGGCTTCCTCCTGCACGGCTTCTACTGGGGATCAAGCCCACAACCTGGGCATGTGCCCCTGACCAGAATCAAACCTGTGACCTTTCAGTCCACAGGCCGACACTCCATCCACTGAGCCAAACTGGCCAGGGCACAAACTTCTTAATAAATTATTTCTGGGAAGGTAAGGAGGAGTAAGGGATTAGAGAGAAATATAAGACCTCAATTACACATTCAATTTCTTGTAAATGTATCCGTATATGGTAAAATATTAGCATTTGTTAAATCTGGTGGGTAAGTACATGCATAGATTTTATTCTCTATATTTTTCTGTATGTTTAATATAATTCATAATTCAAAAATACAAATAGTATTGCTTTGTAAATATAGTTTTTGAACTTATAGAAATTGTATGATATTGTACATATTGTTCTGTATCTTGCTTATTTTACTCAACTTACAGTTTTGAGGTTCATCCATATTGGCATATATAGATGTAGTTAATTTAGTTTAACTACTGCTGTTGGTATCCCATCGTATGCTATATTACATTTAATTTCTCCATCATTCTCGAGATGGACATTTAGGCCATTTCTAGGTTGCTAGCTGTTAAACAGTGCTACAGTGAACACTCGTGTAGAGATTTTGTGTACAGAGTTTCCCCTAGAGCAGTGGTCTTTACACTGGAGTATATGTACCCTTGGGGATACCCAAAACTTTTCAAGAAGTGTGTAGGCCTAAGTAGACTTTTAAACACTCAATTTCAAGATCCTCAGCCTGAATGTGCATATGTTTATTTCAACCATGGACCTGGGTGTGGGCCTGGGGTTAGGATATTAGGCTGGTTCTCTTTTTCCCCTCCTTTCACAACTAACCTCTCATTTGACTACAGGAAGGCAGAGTTTGTATCCATATAAAATCTCATTTGGGATTTTATATATAAAATTTAATATACATACTTTTTATGTTGTTTTTATTTTTAAAATTTCAGTTAATCCACCTAAAATTTATTTTGTGGCTAGCATGAG